ATATTGCTCGTACGGGTTTATACGTCATTCGTTCGATCGACTATTCACTGTTCTCTAATTGGCGGTATCATTACGTTATATATAAATTGATAGGGGAAACAAGACCACAATTTATAACACTATTAACTGAATCAACAACTTGACATGATATCGAATCTAAATTTTATACCATACACAATACTTTTAGATATATACACTATTATACATTGTATTGAATTCATATGGAATTCAATGATATTCCTATAGACTAACTTCAGAGTACTAAAAATTAAGAAATCATAGTTAATGTATGGGATAAACTAATATAAGAAGTTAGACCAACATTGAAAACCTGGAAGCACTGGACGGCCGTTTCATCCTATTGTGGGACTCCTCAGTAGTGCTTCCAGGTTTTTCATGGTGGTCTAGCTTCAACTCATATTATCCACAAAACCCCTTCTGATATTCATATAAAAAGCTTAAATCTCCATTGGATAGTCAAAGAAACTGTAATCTTGTCAGTTACTGGATGTTTGTTCTTTCTTTTCAAAGGAATATCAATAATGAATATCACTAGAAATGTTTCTATGAGTGATTTAACGTGCAATTTTATTTACTTACACCCTATTACCCCTATCGAGAGGAGTATAGCTCACTCATCAGCACTTTCCATCCAACTTTATCTTCGGAAATCTTTTTCAATTCTTTCCAATTGCTATTCATCTTTCTCATATCTCCTTCCAATTCCTGGAATTCATCTCCCCCCTGATCATAGAAATGACTAAGAAACAAGAAGAAAAACGTAATCATGCGAGTTTGTGGGTGGATATGCTCGGTGGTGATGTGAAAATCAATAAAAAACATTCTCATACTATAAATCTAGTTGAGAATATCATCACCGGGTGTTTTTCACCCTCACGCGCTTGATAAGTCATCTTCTTTTGTGATGAAAATATAAACAGAAAAACAACGACAACAGTAAGTTATAATGTAATATTTTCACTTCATTTATTGATATGATTAGTATGCTGATATTAATTATGACGATCAAATCAATAATCGATTCATAGTGTGGTGTATACTACTGATGTCAGTAGATATAAGTAGTATGTACCATGATTTGAAAGTGAAATACCTGGCTGTAGAAGGTTAAGAAGATCAAAGAAAACAAAACGAGAACAAAGAATGATTAGTGTGGGAATGAAGGAACAATCAAGTCTGAGACGATTAATGAATTATTTACTGTGTGGTTCTCAGATTTCAGTAATTCATTCTATCAATTTGTATTCACATATGTTTGATTGTTCACACTTCTGTTTACCTTCAATACAACAGCACCTATTTGATTAGGAGATGGATATTGTCAGTTATATTGTTGATACTCGTGTGTTGTGTGCTACTGATATCGATAGATATCAGTAGTGTGTATCATCGTTTGAAAGTCGAATGCCTGAAGACAGAAGATTAAGAAGATTGAAGAGAAGAGAAGAGAAGAGAAGAGAACGAGAACAAAGAAGGATTGCTGTAGAGACAAAGGAACAAGGAAGTCTGAGATAGTTGATGGATACTTTGTAGATGAAGTATTTTTTGTATGTATTTTACCAAGATAATCTGTAATGTTGTATTCAAATATAGTCGATTTTCCGCATTTGTGTTCTCCTTCACTACAATAACACAAGAGATTAGGTATAGGAAATACATTTTTGGATTAGAAAATAATGTGAAGGTCAAGAGTCACTTCGTCCTATTTGATACTTGTTAGTTGGATGTGCCTGCATCCGAGAGTTAGTGTTCACTTCTGAACTCAAAACCAGTATCGTTCATTTCAATTAACCTCATCGCCTTATCCACTTAGTTACTGAGTGTCAGATTTTACTACGGTATTCTGTAATTTGATGACGAGATACATTTGGTTGTCCTCACTTGTGTTATCGACCACTGTAATAGTAGATCTGTTCAAATCTTAATTAAATACATTTCAAAAGACTGAATAACGTGTGACATAACGATATAAACATTTGTGTAATTCTTAAAACGAGGATTCACATTCGACTCTCAGTGAATTTCTCTCTGCCTCATTAAATATCATCATCATCATACTTTTCTACTTGTTTGAATTCAAATGGATTATGCAAATATCGATGATACATTTTGATGTGATGTGATGAATCGTGTGGAAGTGTAACTCGTAGGAGCATCTCACAAAGGATTCCTGTCTATATTTTCATTGTAAAATTACTAGAAGATTAGATTGTTATATTTTTATATTCTCCTATCTCTAAGCTTTTGTTTGACTAATAAATCGCTGTTACGTCTTATTGTTCCATTGTATCACTTATGACTGAGTTGTGTACATTTTGTACTTCAGCGATTGTGTTGCTCTATGGTCAGATATTTTATGTATGTTATTGAATGAGCCTTGAATTATGATTGAATAGAGTACAATAGAGAAATAAACTACTTTTTATCTACATGTTTTGATTGTCCACTAGGTTAGTGGGAGCTTCAGGACCAATGAGAATTAAAGTCTTGGTTGTTGTTGTTGTTATTGTTGATTGGTCAGTGTGTCAATTGATGCCTAGAAGATCACCGGTCCTACTGGCAATATAAATGAGCTATTCGATAATCAGAGTAGAGTGCAGGAGAGAGAGAGAGGTTATACAACTGCTTTCCTATCATTACGGCTTGATTACGCAGGATTCAGTAAAACATACGCAAGTGGTTTGCTTATTTCCAACATAACACCTTTCTACTAATATTAAAATTTCAAGCAGTTTGACTTTACAGTGTATATTAATATGAAGTACGATGTGAGGAAAGATGAAATATAAGATATATGTATAAGTTTAATAATCATTTACTGAGGAACTTAGAGACGTTTTGAAGAATATTGTCGTTGACGAAGTAAACCGTCGAAATAATTAGTGTTTGGATTGATTTGGAAGGAATAATCAGACTACGTCTACAACCAGAATAAATGAACACTTCTACTACTCATAGAACTATCATTGTTCCTTGAAGTGTTTTGTTTCTCCTTGAATTTCCTTGAGAACACAGAAGACTTGTTATGTATTTTAAACGTTCTCCATGATAATCTCTTTAAAAAGTGAATAGTAGTAAACTAGGACCGGAGTTAGACAAGGTTGCTTACTCTCCCCCTTTCCTCATTCTTCTGGTGGTTGACTGGATTATAAAGCCCCCGACATATGAGGGGAAGCACGGAATACAATGGACAGCTTGCACGCAACTCGAAGATTCGGATTTCACAGATGACCTAGTCGTTATATCCCATACACACCAAAAAGTAGAGATGAAGACAACCATTGTAACATCAGTAGGTCCCAACATACACAAGGGAAAAAGTAACATCCTCAAATACAACACTCAAAACACCAAGCCAATCACACTTGATGGAGAAACTCTGGGAGAGGTGGAATCTTCCACATATCTGGACAGCATCATCGATCAACAAGAAGGATCCGATGCAGATGTGTTAAATGTATATTAACCATTAAACGTCAACTTAGTTGTCATAAGATTAATATCCTTGAATTGAATTTTCAGTTTTGTAATGGTTATGAGCTAATGAGAAGTTATTGACAAGAGTCGAACATCACTTCAAACCTTTTTTTGCATATATATATATATATATATATATATATATATAGTGAATTGAATCACACTGTTTTCAATTAGCTCCTAGATGAAATATGCCCTTAAATGCCTTGGTACATCCGAGGTTGTGGGGAGACAGCTCTCTCTCCCTCCAAGTTCTTTCACATGACCTAGCGTATTCAGCAAACTTTGGGAAATTCCTACTAACTGCATTCTCGCACTTCGTGTGTTGTTTACAAAATTAACAGGATGAAAAGCAAATGTTCGGCGGGAGGTTCAGACGGGTTGGTAGGGACGGAGGGTTCATTTACGGGGGTTAGAAAACCCTGATTCCAAACCAGTGAGCTTCAGGGTACTGAGGAAACAAATGCGGTACAAATCAGTCCTTCTTCATCGGCTAACAAGGGACCGTATCTCCTGATGTTGCTCCACTTCCTTGTAGATCAGAACTTTAGGTCGAAGGCCTCGAGTGTGTTCCCCTAAGAAAACCACTTGCTTCGGTTTGGGCACCAGGGTAGTATCTCGGCCCGGATACAAATCAAGTGACTTGTGTGACACATATGTATTCGGTACCCCTTTGTACCAATATTTATGTGTTCAAATAATCATAGAATCATTGATGAAAAGAAGCAAGCTATACATTAGAACCATCGTTTTTTAATGTTTAACAAAATGGGAATATCTATCAATTTCGATAATTTTTTTCCTCATTTATCCAGTGAATGAGCACTATATGAAGAAATATAATTTTCACTAGGGATTTCATTGCATCAGATTGGAGATATGTAGAGGTTATAGTAATTTTAATGGTTGAATTCATGTGTCTTTCTAAGCTAGATCACCATTCAGAACCTAAGTGAAAACAGTTATCCACCTGAGACAATGAATGAGGAGTTGCGTAAACCCATAGATCGAATGAAGTTAGACACTGATAACGTTGAATGCCGGCTCAGTGATCTAAAGGTTAAACGTTCGTGTGTGAGACTGGGTCCGAATTCCACGTAGGGGGATCATGGATGTGTATTGCTGTGGATTCTCATACTAGGACGAAACGGCGGTCTAGTGTTTTCAGGTTTTCAATGGTGACCTAGCTTAAATCGACTCATGAATTCAACTATTATGTTTTCATTTTAATCACTTAAGGTTATCTTAATATCGAATATCTATAAACATGCCATTAAAGCGCATCTCAAGGTGAATGTTAGGGCTTTCGTTGAAATCCTCAGTGGAAATTACACTTTTTTTATATGAAGCATTCGCTCAATAATTCTATAGAAAAATGTAAGATATTGAACACATGATAAACATTGAAACGCAGCTATGCTGAAAATTCATAGACACTCATCCTATCCCGAATGATTGATATCTATCGGTTGAACTAAATTCCACAGTCCATCAAACTAGACATGTATGACAATAATGAAGATAATGATGGTGATGATCATGATGGTCATGGTGATGATGATGACGATGATTTGGATGTTGATGATGATTTGGATGATGATGATGGTGCTTTGGATGATGATGATGCTTTGGATGATGATGATGATGATTTGGATGATGATAAAGATAACGATGACGATGACGATAATCGATGCTGTATTTAATAAATTAAGAACATGTATCATGTATGTTATTGACAGGATTCATTCCTATTTGAAATGTACTCAGGACAGATAACAATGTGTATGAATCAATGTACAATTAGAATATTAAAAAACTGATATCATGATTCGCTGAGACTATAATTTATGGACGAACCAACTAGATTTAAGATAACAGGTCTTGGATTTCACTGCTAAATCCATCTATCCATTTGGCTACACAGCATTTCGTCATTATAGCTAATATCAGTTCATAATGGAAATCATTAAATCTAATTCCTAACCCCTAACCATCAATTATAAATCATAATCTTTATTGCTTCATACAGATTTATAATCCTTATTTAGCTCTAGTAAGTAGGTGAACATTCTCATGGTCACTTTAGAGTCATTCAAAGATCGTCCATAAATTAGAGTCTCATCTTCTATGACTAATACATGAATCTAAGTTAAATGTTCATTATATACATATAGGTATAGATGAATAATTGTGTTACCGACCTTTTGGACAAAACAAAACGTAAACTGACTTATGGAAACAACATCATTGTTTGTATTATTATTGTTGTTGTTGTTATGGTTAGTGTGATTGTGGTTGTTGTGGTTGTTAAATATAAAATAAATGTCTTAATATGAGTTTAAGTTAAAGCCAAAGGTGGCCAGTTTTTATAAAATAGATGGTATAGAAGAAGAAAAAGTAAGTCAACCAAGCCCTACTCATGAAGTGTCGAATATGACTAATTAACTAACTAACCTGTAGACCACTGACCCGACATCCAACAGTGTTAATGTCTAACTTCAACAAATCCATAAAATTGCTCGGCTGTCCACCATTGTCTTCAGTGAGTAAATATTACACAACAGACCCGATTGAGTTCCACTAGTCAATGATTCTCACTAGAACTCCAGGAAATACCTCATGAAGCCCGCCATTAGTGAGCATATGCTGAGATGGATAGTGGCTAGTAGTAGAATCCAGGACGCGAGTTTCGTCCTATATGGGACTCTTCAGCTAGATGTACTTGCATCTCAGAGTTAATGCTCATTCTGGGTTTCGCACCCAACAGCGTTCGATAGCCACTATTCATCTTTGCTTATAATGCTTGTGAATTAAGGTAATATCGAGGTAATCCAAATTGTATGCACATATACTAATCAATTACAGTCCTAAACATCAATAAGAAGATTCAAGTAAAGCAATCCCAAATGAGCATATGCTGATTAGCATCAGCAAATTAATTGTTAAAGGAAAATATTAGAACATTAGAAGACATTCAACAACATTACAAACAGAACTGATGATAACTAGCAGTGAAATACAGGATGCGCGTTTCATTACGTTTCGGACTCGTTAACTGCATGTAACAGATTAATCAATTTCAGTCCCGAACATCAATGGGAAGATTTAAATAACCAATGCAAAATGAGTTATTTTGCTATTTTGTTCAGTGTAGTACTTGTAATCGTTTATGGGTAACAATCGAGTGGGTGATTAGTCCGATCTCTACCATCCAATTTACCGCTCATGTTAGTTCATGGAACAAATTCCAATACCTAGGAGGCAAAACGAGGACGTATGAGTCGTGTTTCATCGTTAACAACATTATTATTGGATAGACAAACCAAACGGATTTGTTGGTTAACATATTAAAAGTGATTGATAGGTCCTGAGTTCGAATTTCCAGTCTATGATTATTCTTCGCCAAAGTTCCTGGAAGCCCAGAAAACATTAGGAAATGAATAATTTATTCAGTATTGAGCAGATGCCTCTTAGATATATCTAGAGAATTTCTGTTTACAGAGGATTCCTGAAGATCAGGGTTATATGCAACTCAAAATGGACTCTTGATTTCCTGAATATGTACCAAAATTGGGGTGAAGCTTTTAAATTTCGCACCTTACCTCAATTGTTAGAGTTTACTTGTCAAAGTAGTATAGGGTTATAGGACTTACTTACTTACTTACTTACTTGAGCTTGTTACCCCCAATGGAGCATAAGCTTCCAACCAGCATTCTCCAGCCCAATCTATCCAGAGCCTTTCTTTCGAATCCTATTCAACTGTTGTTCATTCTTCTAATGTCTGTCTCCATTTCTCAGTGTAATGTGTTCTTTGGTCTTCCTCTCCTCCTTCGGCCTCGAGGATTACAGATGAGAGCTTGGCTTGTGACGCAGTTGGGTGCTTTCCTCAATATGTATCATATCCACTTTCAGCGCTTCTTCCTATTTGGGATTATAGGAAATGGCTAGTTAGTTAGTAGTAAGTGTTTCCGGTAGCAAACTTACCAACCTGGTGTCCAGTCTATCAGAATAGTGATATTCGACAATTTTTGGTATTTTACAATATCCACTGGTAACATTTGCCTCATACTAAGCCTAAGAACTGAATTGAAGTTTAGAACATGATCTGTATAATGGTTTTTTTTGTTAATCAGTAGTTCTTTTGAAGGATTGCGAACTTCAAAAGACCTATCAAGCTAGACCACCATGAAAAAACTTGAAGCATATTAACTTCTTTGAATGCCAGCCAGTTCAGTGTTCTGGCGGTTAAGCGTTCATACATGAGACTTATGGTTCCTGAGTTCAAATCTCGTGTGGTGGGATCGTGGATGCACACTGCTGAAGAGTCCCACACTAGGACGAAACGGCCATCTACATGAATTCAATTATTGAAAACAAATTACTACAATCTTCACAAAACCCTTGTTTGATAGATTATTAATTTGTGATATGAAAATCATACAAAAAAAACTTGTCTTTCGCTTAGCAACTAATGATCATGCCAAAACCATTAAAGAAAGAATTTACTTATGTGAATAATAAGAACAATAATAGTATCAATCAATGAATTGTGCATGATCATTGATTTTGTGCAACGTGCATAAAAATGAATAGAACCATTCATTATGTTGTTTTTTTCTTTGTATTTTGTCTTAACAAGAATGAAAGTTGACATGTTCAACAAATTCATCGATTGTTTCTTTAGTCTTAGATTATGTTCTTTATGTAAACATCGACTAATCTTTTATGTGCTGAAAGTATTGCCTTAAGGTAATTGTCTTAATTCATAAGGTAGCAATGGAATCCAGTTTGACGAGCGTTTCGTCCTAATTGGGACTCGTCAGCTGGATGTAACTGTATGACATTTGAAACAAACTGCACTAAGTTAGAGTCTCAGAGTGAAAACCAACAAGTTTTGGGATGCAGGTATAATAAGCTAACGAGTGCCGAACAGGACGAAACACGCGTCAAACTGGATTCCATTGCTAGCCACTATCCATCTTTGCTTTAATTATCGTTATTGAGGTTTCAGTAGACTATTAATTCACCTTATAAGGATTGCATTATATCCCATTAACGTTATTATTATGTGTATATAATATGGTTCCATTCGTTTTTGTATTTAGTTCTTTGACATTTACGTTATTCCTGATTGATCTCGAACTTCACCTTCATTTTATCATTTTGTTTTTATATGAATACAGAATATCAATGGTTAAGATCATGAGACAGTTGAAGTTAGACCACCATGGAAAACCTGAAAGCAATGGTCGGCCGTTTCGTCCTGGTATGGGACTCTTCAGCGGTGCGCATCCACAACCTCGCCCCCTGCGGGACACAAACCCATGACCTGCTGGTTTCGCTCACAAGCACTTAACCACTAGACCACTGAGCCGGCATACAACGGCGTTAATGTATAACTCCAACTAATCCACGAAATTGAACGACACACCCATGCGCGAAACCAGTAGGTCCTGGGTTCGAATCTCTCAGGGGGCGAGGTTGTGGATGCGCACCGCTGAAGAGTCCCATACCAGGACGAAACGGCCGACCATTGCTTTCAGGTTTTCCATTGTGGTCCAGCTTCAACTGTCTCATGATCTTAACCATTGAAATTACTATAATATCCACAAAACCCATCTGAATACAGAATAGTTGATTAGTTTGGATTAAATCAATCCAGGACCTAGACTGTCGTGAAACAGACCGGACGCATATATGACGACAGACTAATCATCGTAATTATACTTGTTATTTCGTGCTTTGTCTTTTCATTCTTTTTCTAGTTATTGATGATTGTAAATACTCGGTATCTGAACTTGAATTATCCTTCGTTGTGATATTCACTCTCAACAATAACTTTCTAATTCTCCTACTAAAAGAATACTGGCTCTCAGTTGCTACGTTCTATACAACATCTGTCGCTCAAAAACGGCCATTACACTATAGTGTACTTATGTTTTTGTTATATTACTAACTAAAGAAGACTGTGCTCTTACAAGACTAATGATGAATTTGGTGTACAACTCTGTTTTCAACAATCCTTTCTGGTTGTTTCCAGTTGCATTTTATTATTTTCATGTGTGCTTCCAATTCTCGGCGTAGTATGTTCTTAGGCCTTCTTCTTTTTCGTTTCCCTTCAGGGTTTCACATTATGGCTTGCTTCATGATGTAGTTTAATGATTTCCGCAATGTGTATCCTACACAATTCCAACGTCTTGTCCCGATTTCCAGTTCAACTAGAAACTGGTTGGTTCTCTCTCAGAGTAGTTAGTATCTGATAAACGGATATCAAGCATCTTACATAGACTGTAGGTAATATAATTGTACATTTTTGATGATGGTTGTGGTAATTTCTCAATTTTCAGCTCCTTATGGTAGAACTGTTTTGACATTCGGATTGAAGATTTTGGCTTTGATATTGGTTGACAGGAAGTTGTTTTGGTTTCCATATGTTCTTGAATTGTAGGAATGCGGCCTTTACTTTACCGATCTTCACGTTTACATCTGTATCTGATCCTCCTTGCTCATCGATGATACTGGTTAGGTACGTGAAAGATTCCACATCTTCCAAAGCTTCTCAGTCAAGTGGGGTTGGTTTTGTTTTTGCGTGTTGTGTTTGAGGATGTTGCTTTTTTCTTCGTGTATGTTGAGATCTACTGCTATACAGGCTTCTACTTCCAATAGTTAAAGCATAACGAACAAGGTGTGTTACCGAAAATTA